ACTAAGTGAAGTAAGCCAGAAAGAGAAAGAAAAATGCATATGCTATCACTTATATGTGGAATCTAAAAAAAAAAAAAAAAAGACACAAACGAACTTATTTACAAAAGAGAAACAGACTCACAGACATAGAAAACAAACTTACAATTACCAGGGAGGAAAGTGGGGAGGAGGGATAAACTGGGAGATTTGCAGATATTAACTACTATAGATAAAATAGATAAATAACAAGTTCCTACTGTAGCACGGGGAACTATATTTAATATCTTGTAGTAACCTATAATGAAAAGAATCTGAAAAGGAATATATGTATGTACATGTATGACTGAAACATGATGGTATACACCAGAAATTGTCACAACAGGTAAACTGACTAGACTTCAGTTAAAAAAAAAAGACATGGGAGTAGTAAGTGTAGTAAAAAAAAATGTTGGGGAGGGAGGGTTAAACTCTGGACAGGTTGGTAAATCACCCAGCTTGCTGTTAAAATGCCTACAACATAAGTAAGTCCAGTATTTGAAAAATGCTGAATGTTCAAGAAACTTTCACATAAACACGTTTTCAAGACACATTGAAACTGACCGAGGCATTGGCTGTGAAGCTTTGGGTATGTTCACTTTCATTCCAGTGTGTCCCAGCTACATTTTCATCACAAATGATTGAACTGGATTCTTAGAGGACAGTGGCAGGCAAGCTGATAAGGTGGGTGGATATTTGAAATTCAAATATGACAAAAGTGCTGGTTCTTATCTGAAATAGGAAGCAACACGTTAATAGAGGGGGTGACATGCAGGCTTTGAAGGCTGGTACGCCATTTATGGGGAAGTCAGACATTCTGACAGCTCTGGGAATGATGCATTATGGATTCACAAAAGTATGGAGCAAGCAGGGAGCAGCTTATATGTGGAGGGCAATCTTCCCAGAGGGGGCTTCTCGGGCCTGGGGAACTAAAATAAAATAGAGTGATGCTTTGGAAATCCACAGGGAAGCAACTAAGGACCACACTTGTCTGCACTTATGAAATGTCCCAGGAAATCGGCAGTGCCCTGGAGGGAAGGGGCAGAGATCAGAGTATTGAGAGCAGGGCTCCAAGTCAGGTCTGCTACTCACTACCTAAGTGACCAGCAGCAAATGACTTTTAAACCATCTAAGACTCAGCTAACTGACTGCCAAATGGAGATAACGAAATCTACCACACGCTGTTCTTGGAAGGATTAGATGACAATGCGTGTCAAGTGTTTAGCGCACTGTGTGGCATGTAGTAAGGAATCAAAAAGTGTTAGCCATGTTTAAAAAAATTGAAGCATAGTTGATTTACAATGTTGTATTAGTTTCTGGTGTACAGCATAGTGATTCAGTTAAACAGATATATATTCTTTTTCATTATAGGTTATTATAAGATATTGAATGTAGTTCCCTGTGCTATACAATACAACCTTGTTGTCTATCTATTTTATATATGGCGGTTAATATCTGCAAATCCCAAACTCCTAATTTATCCCTCCTCCTCCCCTTTACCCTTTGGTAACCGTAAGTTTGTTTTGTATGTCTGTGAGTCTGTTTTTGTTTTGTTATAAGTCCATTTTTTTGTCATTTTTTTTAGATTCCACATATAAGTGATATCATATATTCGTCTTTCTCTGTCTGACTACTTCACTTAGTATGATAATCTCTAGGTCCATCCATGTTGCTGCAAATGTCATCATTTTTTGTGGCTGAGTAGTATTCCACTGTATAAATATACCACATGTTCTTTATCCAATCATCTGTCATTGTTTCCATGTCTTGGCTGTTGTATACAGTGTTCCATGAACATTAGGGTGCATGTATCTTTTTGAATTAGAGTTTCCTCCGGATATAATATGCACAGGAGTGGGATTGCTGGATCATATGGAAGTGTTAGCTGTTTTTAATCATAAATCTTAAAGGAGGAAACTGCTTCAGTGAAATGATGCAACATTACTAATGCATTCAGTACTGTTGGGTTTTTTTTGCCCCACGTAGACAAAGGAACTAGGCAATTTTGTCAGATTTGTGCCCTAACATAAGGTGTGGGGTGGGGAGAGGTACTGGTTTATGGCAAAGGTGTCGGGATCCAAGGTGGACTGAGTAGCCCTCAGCTATGGATGATGGCTTGGGGCATAGTTAGGCTGAGTCCCGTACACTGTCACTTATCCACCCTGCTGACAGATGACAGGCCTGCAGGGTTAAGTGCTCAAGGCATGACTTAGCCTGGGCTCCATGGAGCTGCCCACACATGTGCTTCAAGGCACCTGGGGAGCTCTACAGTTAGAGTGTTGACCCGCTGCTTCTTTGGAGAAAGCAGCTCTTAACATTCTTCAAGTTCCGTAGGCGGTCCATCATCCCCAAAAGGTTGAGGACCTCTGTTGTATGTATTCTCTCTTCATCCTGGAAGTACAGAGAAGTCTTGGAGGGTATAAAAAGGGCTTTGCTTATGGGTGGAGTCATGCATCCTTCAAAACTTATAACAAATGGTTTTATTTCACCTTGTTATATATTGACAGTAATATATATATAGGTAGTGTCTATAGGTGATTTAGTTTAATCCTCTTATCAACTTTGAGTGGTACTCTTATTTCTGTTTTATAAATGGGGCTTGGAAGGTTTATTTAATTTGCCTACGATCATACAACTGGGAGGGGCAAATTCACACTGCATCTGTCTGATTTTACTTCTGGTGCATTTTTACATTTGCCCTCGAATGTGTCTTTCCACATAGGCCTGTGTTACACACACGTCTTTCCATCACATGTCATGAATCCTACTATTTTCCTCCCAAAGTATTTCTCTCTTATGAGGCTAAAACAACCCCTGCTGCCCAGTGGGATTAAGAAAGCAACTGAACTGTTCTATTTAGGGAAGGCTGCTGACCATAGGCAGAGGCGACCCAGTAAAAGCTGCTTATTGTTTTAGATGAACAGGGAAACTGAGACAGTCTCCTGAGACAGAACCCAAGGATTTCTGCATAAACATCCTTCTGACTGTGATCACATGGAAGAGTCCTCAGATGTTGGTCCAGCCAATGTACCCACATACTCCACAATCAGTAAAGGAACTTGGGGGTTCCTGAGAACGTGACGTGGGATGGAGGGTCTGGCCCAGTGGTGAAGAGGTGACTTCAAGATCATGCCTATCACTTCTGGAATTCATTTTGA